AGCTGAATATATGAATTGTAAACGGAAGTAGTATAAAGACTTTTTCTTGATGACATCTGGGTAACCAGTGCGATGTATCTATGTGTTGAAAATAGCTCTACAATTGGAAGTAGACATGGCTTCAGACCAATCTGGAGAACCTATCTATTAATGTCAAAAGGTATATGGTAGCTTCTGATGGTGGTAATGGGCCAATGATATACATGTGTGAAACACATGCATCAGAAAAAGAGGATGTGCCTACTGGTCCTTTGTTTTGCCTGCCTATTTTCAATCTTTGGCAAAATTCACAAGATTTCACCCAGTTTTTGATATGATGCTTCACACTTGGGTACATATAACGAAAACAAATGAGTTGTTCATGGTAGTACAACTCCTGGATGTGAGAGATCATACAGATAGTTAAAGATGAGTCTGCAAAAGGAATTCAGGATAAAAGGATGATGAATGTGTGTAAAGATGTCACAAAGAACATTACCATTTGAGTATTGGCAAGGATAAATTCCAGCTTTAAAGATGACATGTTGTTTTTGAGAAGATTTTGTACTTCTGGATCATACAGTATGGAACATTTTTGAATAGCCAAAAATGAAGATTTTGATATAGAATAAATTTTAGTTCTAAAAAAGGGCAGAGTTGCCAACTCTCCCGATTTTTGACCGCTCTCCCGCCAACCTGATTTACAATATATTTCTCCCGACTTTGTCTTATTCGTAAAATTTCTCACGATGTTTATGGAACTTGGCTTAATACTTTGTTATCTGGGGGGGGGGAAGTGATTTTGGACGTCTAAAAGCAATTGAAAAATTTTCTCTAGATTATATCTAAAACAAAACCTTGCGAATCAGATGAGAACTTCTGCTTTGTGAGTGAGAGCATATACGTATCCAGAAACGTCGTTCTCATGGGCATCGAGCTCCACTGCGTGTCATCTGACATATATTAACCAACGAGCACAAAGCAAGCTCAAGGCTGTTATTTGGATGTTCTGTAGTTATTTCGGTCATCTTGTCCTGAGTTGTGTGAGTACACATGCCTTCGGGAAATAGTTTTAGAAATTATCATGTTTTGCTATGTCTGCGAGAAAGGCGAAATACTCATGTACATCGCACACAGTTGACTTTTTGTCCATTATTTCCTCAAGGAAATATAATAAATTTGCGCTGTGTACCGACTGTCATTCCGATTTTTTGATTTCACATGACTGAAGGTAGGATGTTCTCAAACATGTGCAGACACAAAAACACAAGGACAACATGAGTTGTTTTGAAAAAAATGAAAAATTAAATTTTTCTTCGGAAACAAAGGACCAAAAAGTGCAGAATGTCTGTTCTTTGCCTTTTTACTGGAGCACAACCTGCCACTGAATGCATCAGATCACGCTGCAGCTTCATTTAGAAAAATGTTTCCCGATAGTGAAATCGCTAAGAAATACTCAAGTGCAAGGACCAAAACAGGTGCAATTGTTAAAAAAATGGGTTTGAAAAAATAAATCTTCAGTTATTGATTGCATTAAAACAGCTCTGATCTGCCTCTCTACGGATGGAAGCAATAATACCGATTCAAAACTGTATCCAATTGTTGTTTCTTTTTTTAATCCAGAGTCTTCAGAAATTGAGTGCAGTTTACTTTCTGTTCCCACTTTAGAAGGACATTCGACAGGCTTTAATATAGCACAGCTGATTATTAAAACTTTAAAAGAAAATGCAGTCCCTCTGGATAATTGCTTAGCACTTGGTGCTGATAATGCACCAGTAATGGTAGGCTTGAAGACTGGTGTTGCAGGCATCTTAAGAAAGGAAAATTCAGATTTGCAGATTATCATGTGCACCTTTCACCTCTTAGATTTAGCAGCTGAAAAAGAGGCAGCTTCTTTACCAATAAATGTAGATGAACACATTGTTGATATTTATTATTATCTTGAAAGGAGTACTAAAAGGAAAGAAAAATTGAAACAGTTCCAACAGCTGCATAATACCGAAATGAGAAAAATTTTGGAACATGTGTGTACACGCTGGCTGTCTTTAAAGAAATGCTTATCTAGAATCCTCGATCAATGGAACCTACTTCTTGCATTTTTTAAAGAAGTAAATGCTTTGAGAGTTAAGATAAAAGGCTCTATTGCAAGTTATAAAGTACCTAAAGTAAATGGAGATGTAGTTACTACTTCTATTGTTAAAAATAGGTTTGAGAAAAATAAAATAATTTCTGCGCCATTCAGCAATTCATCTGGCAGTTCTCAAAATAATACTGCTAAATATAAGTGTAAAGCTGATACAAATTTCTCTCAAAATAAAAAAATTGCTTAGTCGAAATAGACTGAATGATTGAAGACAGATGCTAAAGAAATTATTTTAACATTAAGTTATTGGGAACATTTTAGGGATTCCACTCAATGTTCCATATTTCTAAGTAAATTGGAAAGATTTTGAGCCTGATTCCTTTCTTGATAACAATTGGCAGATTTCTTACTAGGAAGATTCTCCCGACCAGTTTACTGACTTAGTTGTATTCTTTCTGTAAGTGTCAATAGGGTCTGATTTCATAAGTAAATGCCGAACTAGTCTGTCTGGAAGAAGCTAAGAAACTACAGTTTATTTGGTAGTTGATTCTGTAACAGTCTTGGGGTAGCAAAAGCAATAATTTCACACATAATAAACAGTAAAGCTGGGTGTGATTGATTATTAACTGGAATTTGGACAGCAAGTACATCAGAAATTGTGCCAGGTTTAAGTCAAAATATAAAATACAACTAAAGCAAATGAAATATATGTGATAAATAGAAAATAAAATAGTGAAATTATCTATAATTAATATTCATCTGTTATCCAGAGGATAAGATCAATGTAATCCGTAATTTTTGGTTTTGAATCTTGAGATGGTGAGTCATCACAAATGAAAGTACTTGCAAACTTTTCACAAAATCTGATTTGGTGATGTCCAGAAGTTGTTGCTGTAGGAGTACAAATCATATTCTTACAGTATTCATCAATAACTTCATTAGACATAACAGACAATAAAAAAAAATCGATCTTCAAAATATCAAGACCTCAAAACACACACCACTCGACTGCCCATACTATTCTCTGCACTCCTTAAAAACTCATGTATCATAGAGTTGTAGCTTTGGGCTGCAGGGGCGAGAGGCAAAGCATACCCTTTTATCACTAATACGACTCCTCACTACAACATATACAGCTTCATGAAAAGAATGATTTAAATCAAAAATATAAAGACAAATAAGAAAAATACAAAATATATTTTATCATAATTATTTAAAAATGCACAGGAGGCAAAATGCTACTGATTTTATTTAACATTGCTGAAAACATTTGCATCTTCTCATACAGCTGATATTGCATGAATTCAATGAAGCAGAAATTTAGGTAATGGGATACAGCCCCACACTGATATTTATTTCTCTGTTTTGTATTTCCCACAACTTTTAACAGTTCACGTGACATTTGGTGTTAGAATCAATAAAGTTACATTTATTGTTACAGGTGTCCATATCTGGCAGCTGTTAATTCTTCTGTTCTGTACACTTTCCAGAAATCGGAGCAAACTGTATTTCCATCTGTCATATTTTCTTGTATCATTGTAATGAAGGTTTTCTCTGACTAGTCAATTGTAGCCACACTCTTTTGATTCATGGAACTTATGATATGATAAAAACAAGTTACTACATATAGCACTTTGGTGTGCAATCATAATTGGCATGTCATATATCAACAAATTATTTTACACAGAGTATGAAATTACATTTCATTATATATATACTAGTTCAGGTTAATTATTTTCTGTATTGATGTCAAAAGTCCTCATTTGTTCCAAGCTATTTTCTTTCCCCCCGTTTTCTTCCTTTCTTTATAATTTTTATTATATATATATATTGTTTTTGTTGTCATATAATTATATTATTCCATTGCATGAGCAGTAGAATTAAGAGGAATGTCCAAAGGGATATTTTAAGTAAAAGAGACGGGGGAGGAAGGAGGGTAGGCATCTTAACTTTGTCTCAGTAAATAAAAAATTAATAACTTTTGAGCTTCAAATAATATACCAAATGCAAAGTTTTCGACTCTCCTTGGTCGTTCTCGGAACTCCACGTACTCTCGAGACTCTCCACACGATGCACTCGACGATACACGAAAATAGCTCTCGACTCAGCACAGTCTAAGACAAAACTCGACGATGCACTAAAAGACTCTCTCGATGCACTCGACGACCATCTCAGTGCTAGACTTCGAAATACTCGTTCAATGACTGACATCAGCTCGCTAGACGAGGCGCGCACACACACGATGAGAGACATACACTAACTGAGGACTAGCAGGTTTTATATAGCTTCCGGCTTGTGTTCAGGCTGATATTATATATGCAGAATACTTTATGAAGCTTGTGACAAGTAGGAGCAGTACAATATTTCAGTGTGAAAACATATTAGAATTGCTAAGTTTATTGCAGTATTTCCTTTTATAGATTTAGCTTGTATCCATATAAGCAAATTGTCTTTGTCCATTCTTTATTTGAAGTTGCACTGCAAATGGGTTAAGTTCTAGCTAATTTCTGTGGAAGCAATTTCTATATTAATTGAGCAGTAACATTTAATATGCAGTTTATTTGAATATTTACCATTGTTAATTAGCAATTTTCTTGGAAATTATATTTGAAACTATGAATTACCTAACCATCTCATCCTAGAGAGTGTTGCTAAGCTTACACCATAAGGGATGCACTCCCAAGTAATGTAAATATACCCACTTGGCAAGAGAAAGTAAACACACAAACAAGGAAATTTAAAAATTTAATTCATGCATTTAATTTCTAACTAGCAATCCAATCTGCCTTAGCCCCCATGCCAACTGGGAGAACAAAAATGTAATTTAATAGTTATAATTTCTGTTGTCAGTTAATGAAAAAAATGTGTGGAGGAAAATTAATATCAAATTATAATTTTTGTTTATTTCATAATAATTGTAGCAATTGTTTTATTGTAGTGCTGTAGGAGCAGCTACTTTGTTTAATAAACTGTATGTGTGTGGTGGATATGATGGTATCTCTTCTTTAAACACAGTAGAATGTTATGATCCAGAGAAAAATGAGTAAGTTTTTACAGTACATTAATCATTCTATTTAATTATTCACTTAATTGCAAATGCATTATTAATGTTTATCATCATACATAGCAGTTATGCACACTCATATCTTAAAAACCACGTAAATTGCCAGTCTCCAAGCCTAATCTAGGAGCAATATTTCTTACTGCAAACTATTTTCAACAACAGCAATGAAGGGAATATTATTTTTGTGATCTTTGAGTTACAGTATTTGATTTATGAATTCATAAGAAATGTAATTAGAGGTAATAAATTAAAATTTTTAAGATTGACAGAATAATTTTATCTGATCATATTGATACCCAATAGGGGTCAATTGGACAAAACTGCTAAATGTTAAATTATTAAACCATATTTGTATATTTAAATTATTAAACTGATATATTCATCTGGGTGTGTATCTACATGGATGGGTATTTTAATGATTTTCTTTATGTGCTGCATCAATATAGCCAATATGCTTTAGTTCTCCACAAAGTCATTTCTTCTGTTTGGTATCTAACCATTGTGTGCTTTGACTTAATTTATTAAAAGGTTCTTCTAAATTTCTTTTTTCAAAATATCATTTTTGCTTTTCATTTTGCATAATGATATTAGTAAATTATATATTTGAATGAAGAATAAAAGTTTGTAGGTAAAAGGTAATTTTTCTTATTATTTCTTGAAATAAATTGTATATGTGCAGTTGTTTTTGTTCATCAGAATTAATAACATCCTTGAGGGAGCATTCTAGGATTTTATTTGGTAGTATTCTTTAGTTTTAAATTGTTTTACAGAATGTGTTTCAAATATTAGCGCTATTAATGAAGCTTAGTCATCTATGATTTTTATATTAGGAAGTTTTGAGAAAGGTTTTAAAAATACAAAATTTAACATGCTATATAATCCTTAAGGAGGAAAAATGTCATTTAACAAAATATTCATTGTACTTTTAGATGTTATGCCCCCCCTCCCCAAAAATAATCTTGCCTTTATGTTCAAAATTCGAAAAGCTATTAGTAAATAATAATTTAGTGTGGTTATATTGCTAGCTAGGTTTATACTGAGTATTATGCAGAGCCATATGTTGCCAAAATGAACAACATTTCTAGTATATTTATTTTCCTGAATCAAGTAAAATTCCACTTAAAATTGCTTAGTAATAAGCACTGAAAAGTGTAGCTTATCAGTACATTTGTTCTTTTATATCTTCATGATTTTGAAATTTAAAGGTACAGAAATTTGTATATTTAAATTATTAAACCATAATGAACATTTTACTAAATGGACTTTATAACCTGTGTAAATCACACAAAAATTTGTGATTTTATGTTTATTTGCAAATACTTTTCTGCTTTAATTTAAGAAGCTATGTAACTAGAACTAACTATGATGCATAATTGAAAACATATGGAACATTACTGAGTAATGATATGCATTCACACTTCAGAGTATTACCATTAAAAAAAAAAATAATAATAATGAAAGTTTAGGAAGCATTATTCTAGTGAGAATTGGATAGATTTGATGAGGAGTTTAAAAGAAAGTTCAGTTTAATCTTGCAACAGTCAGCTATAATGTAAATGTTGCAATCATAGATTCAGAGAGTTATATAATGGGTATAAAAATTATTTTAAAAATTAGTACTAATTATAATTCAGTAAGAGTAGATTTCATACACTGAAAGTAGATTATACAGTAAGAGTACATTATTTATGTATATTTATTTTAAGATATATGTGGACTGTTTTTATTAATATTTTAATCAGTTGCCAGTGTTCTATAGTTGTATAATCATAAAAATATATCTTCAAAAATGAAAATATCCAAGAAATTTTTAGAGTGGAGTTGAACTTCAGTGCATTTATATTTATTTCATTTATTTATTTATTTTTATTTTTGAGCAAATACAATGTAACTAATTGTGTTAAGGACAGTATAAATAAGGAAAATAATTTTAGACTGGTATTTTTTTTAAAAAGTAAAAGTATAGTATGATTATAGACTATATCTGCTAGTATATTTCTGTTGAAAGAAATATATTTATAATTTAAATTTTTTTAAAGAATTAATAATTATTAAACATAATGATTTAAACTTTTAAAGCAGGTTTTTTTCTCATCTGAAATTGTATATAAAAAGGCAAACATTTTGTGAAAAGGAAGGTGTTAAAATAGTTTTAATATTCTGTTGTATTATTGCAAAATTATTTAAATGTATTATTTGAAATTGTGTGCAACTATATATTGAATAATATAAAATGAAAATTGAATCTAAATTTTCTTAAATAAAAATAAATGTATAAAAAGGACTGTATATTATTTTAATATGTTTTTCTTTAAAATTCCTATATTTTCAAATAAATTTAAGCTCCTTCTTGCTTTTTTTAAAATCTTTTTCATCAATTTCACTCTTCAGGTGGAGTATGGTCACAAGTATGTCCAAACACAGAAGTGCTGCTGGGGTTGTTGCTTTTGAAGACCACATCTATGCTCTAGGTGGACATGATGGGCTTTCTATCTTTGATTCGGTGAGTTATTCTGTGAATATTTTCTAATTCATAGTCTTATTTTAATTTTTCATAATATTTCATGAATATGTACATGTTACAGGTGGAAAGATACGACCCTCACTCCGGCCAATGGATAGCTATGCCACCTATGTTAAGCAAAAGATGTAGACTTGGAGTTGCAACTCTTAATGGGAAAATATATGTTTGTGGAGGTTATGATGGCTCTACTTTCCTACTCACTGCTGAGGTTTATAATCCTGCAACTAAACAGTGGACATATATTGCCCCAATGAATGTTATGCGGAGTAGAGTTGCTTTGGTTGCAAACTGTGGTAAATTGTATGCAATTGGTGGCTATGATGGTGTCACAAACCTCAGTACAGTTGAAATCTATAATCCAGAAAGTAACCGGTGGGATTTTGTTCCATCCATGTGTGCGCATGAGGGTGGTGTGGGTGTTGGAGTGATTCCATCCTTATAGAAAATTCCTTAGTTTAATATTGTTTAAAATTTGACATTTTGCCTTTTAATGATAGTTTTTCAAAAGGGAGCAAATTATTAAATTTTATTTATTATTATTAGAAATTTGTATGTATTATTTTATGCATAACTTTTGCCATAGTAAACTTGATTATGAAGCAGTTGTAGTAATGGATGTATCTGTTCCAAGTGTACTGTGTTAAAATGGGCTAAGTGCAATGTTTCATATTCATTGGAAAATCAATATCAATCTTTCAAGTAATTATCATATACTTTTTACATGAATTTCTTAATTATGTGTTATTAGATTTATTTGTTATTTATTTTATTTCATTTCACCAAAATTAAAACATTTTGAATAATTTTTAATTGCATTTCACAAAGATTAAGATGCATTTGAATTGGCTTAAATTAGTTCTTGAATTGTACTTATAATTAGAACATTTTAAATAAAAAAATAATAAATGAAATAGGAGAAAGTTAGGAAAATGAGACTTCTTCAAATTAAATTAAAATCTTATAAGATTAAATAATATTGTTGCGTGCATTCGGGTTCATAATAGATTGAATGCATGCGGGTCCGATTATAGATTAACAAAATATATTTTTATCAAAAGAAGTATTTCAGAGTTCTGGAATTTTCCACGGAAATATTTGTCAGGTATTCACAGTATATCACACAGTGCAGTTAGTAGTTAAATTCAAACTACTAAGAACATTAAACACAATGCAATGCAAAGCGCATGTAAAGAGAAAGCTAACGGAGATATCTCAGTTCACGCTGAACTAACAACTCACAACAACAATAATTAAACAACTAACTGAATGTAGATGCTCTCTTTCTAGCCTTAAATAGTTTTAAACTAGCCAACGAGATAGTTCCAGTACTTTTTGCTTCTTGAAATTATTGGAAAGCAATATGAGGGTCGAATTACGGTTACAGCTAGCATAGTGATCAATTACCTTTATTCAATTTCAGTACATATTACGGTGATATAGGGACCAGAATTTGGCGATTGTCGCCAAAACCATCGTCAGCTTGGCGATATCTCACCAATTACTAAGAAACACATTTATTTAATGTTAAATGGACTTGCCCCTGTATTCTTACTTTTCTGGGTTAGCTTTTCCCTTCAGATTTTTTGTGTTACATTGCACAGCAAAATACGACAATTTCACATATAACTGCACTGAAATCATCTATCTTTGTACAATATTTTTAACAATATTTAGTTTCACTTTATTTTAAATTTCAATAAATTATTTTCAATTATCAAAATGCTGTGAGAATTTTCCTTTAGTTTGTCATCTTAATTTATTTTTTTTTTTACATGTTTAATTTATTTTTAGAAGTTGTCTAAATCTCCCTTTATTATTAAACATGTGAATTATTAAACAGTTAATTAAAAATATTCTTATAAGGAAGGTCTTTCAGTCTTGAACTCTCAGTATTAAAAATATATATATGCAGATTTGCTTATGAAAAATATGCAATCCTAAATACAATGATAAAAAGTAATTGCTTCAAGGCTTTAAATGAGTAGATGACCCAAAAGTGGGTGAAGAATATTCGCATGCTATGGTATATTTAATTTTCTGAAATTTCAAAATACGGTTTTCTGAACTCCCAGTGAGTGATTTAGTTTCAAAATCAAAACATAAAACAAATGGATTCATGTAGAATCTTAATTTGCATCTATCTATTTATTTATTATTTTTGTATATTCATTTATTATTTTTTTATTACAAATTTCATTTAAAAGTTTATGCATGTATAAAATTTATTACTTATGATTATGAACATACTTGTTTCCCATCAGTGTTTCATCATGCTTCTCAAATAGTTTAAACAAAGAATTTTACTTTTCCTTATACAGATTAATCAATCAAACTTAACAAAAAGGAAGAAAAATTAATGTTTGGAAAATGACCAGAACTTAGGGAATTCTGAATACCATAGTATTAAAAGAAAATGTGTAATGCTGTTTTTGTTTTGCTCAAACATGCATATTTCATACAATAATCATTTTGGTTATTGCAGGTGTGCATGATGATGTATAACTGTGAAAAAATAATCAAAACTGTAGAATAAAAATATCAAGTTGAAAATGGTAAATAATTATAATTTGCTTGTCAAATATAAATTAATTCTTTAAACATATATAAGTAGCTAATAAGCAGTCCTAATGTAATTAGTGTAAATAATTTGTCACAGTGTAGATTGCATAATCTGGTAAAAGACTGAGAAAGTGTTTGAGAGAAAGCAATCATATTATTAGAAGTAAAACAGTACATAAAATGTTGCTTAACAATTCTGCTACTTACAAAATTCATAATCATAAAAAGCCTAAAATTGTTAAATGGTAAATTGATATAAATAGGCAGTTAATGTAATTACAGTGATAGAGAATGAAATCCTGTGATCAAGAAGAAATCAATTTAGAGGAATGAAATGTAGGCAAATCATTCATCTAGGTAACATAGTTATTTGATTAATATTTCAAGGTCACCATCAAAGTATACATGAGAACAGCTATTTCAGATGTGAAATGGTGATACATTCATAACTTCTGTAATCATCACGATATTGAATGCAAGTGTGCAAACATGCATTTATTTTGTTGTATGTCATTTTAATAGGTTATTTTAATAGGCATTTTTTTCCATGCCTGTTGCACTTGGTCAGCCAAATCAACAATGGTCTGTGCCAAAATCATTGCTGATTCCATCATACTGGATGACTCAGGATTTGTCATCCAGTCATTATCCTGCATACTCGGACAAATACTATAAGTGCCCAAAGAGAGATGAACATGCCCAAAGCCCTGCTCTATACGTGCCCAAAGAGAGAAAAACTGGGTGATCTTGGAAGTCAAGGCAAGCATGTTGACACTTTGTCGAGCATGTTGGATGATAGCAGTAGTATGGGGATAAGTATTATCTTGTTTGAAAATGGTCCCTGGAATACTGCTAAAAAATGCACAACCAGTTCGGTCACCAGTTTAACATACAAATTTGCTGTCCGAGTATGTAGGATAATGAAGAACGAATAATACTTTGATAGGAAATTACTCCCAGACCATAACTCTTAATGTAGGTCCAATGTGCCTGCACTGCAGACAGCTTGGTGCCAAGCAGCCACCTGGCTTCCTTCTAACAAAAATATGGCTATCACTGGCACTAAGACAGAAGTGGCTGTCATCTGAAAATGCAACTGATTTCCAATTTGACCTCCTATGACCTACAGCTTAACACCATCAAGGTTAAAGATAGCAGTTATTTAGAGTTAGTGGTATGGCCACTCAGAATGTCTGGATTGGATAATTTGTTACAGTTTGCTGTGCAACTCTGGTGCCAACAAAAGCTCGAATATCTACTACAAATGCAGTGCAATGCGCCATAAACCTGCAGAGAATACAGCAGTCTACCATTTAAGTGGTGGCTTGTGTGTGTGGTTGGACCTTGGCCTCCTTGAAATAGCATCTTTCCATGACCATTGCTGCCAACATGCATGCACAGTGGATATATCCCTGCCAAGTCGTTTTGCTGTTACATAAAGAAAATCCACCTTCGCTTAGTACTATTACATGACCTTGTTCAAACTCGGTAAACAACTTCAGTTCAAACTCGTTCACACTTCAGTATGGTGCTCATACTGCCTTTGTTGTCTCTTTAAAGGCATTCTTGACCAAAATCTCACTTACATTGCCCAATGCAGCAGATAAATAAAGCACACAAAGTTTACCCTGTGTATTTAAAAGAAACATGATTTGTATGTTCGTAGTGGCATCATTAGTACCACTGTTATTTGTTTTACACGAAATCTAATTAGACATCATCTTTCAGATGTTCAAACATACCTCCCACATTTTGTTTATTTTACAGGATTTTATTTTCCATCAGTGTATAATTTCAAAGCAGCATTATTCTAGGTTTTCAAAAATGTTGAGTAGCTATTATATTTTGTCAAAACTTTTGCCTTTGTGAAAAAAAAAACAACTTTATAATATTTTGTGTTTTATTTATATGGATTTAGCATATAATTTAATTGATGTTTTCCTTTTTGAATGTACAGAATAAGCTGTATCTTTTCCAAATGAGTTGGAATGAGGTAGAAGTTAATGAAATTTAAGGTTGGAAGACTTCTTTATTAAAATCATGAATATATTGTGTGGCATTCTATTATGTACTATTTCACTTACAGACTGGATTATGAATATCAATGTATATTGTAAATATATTATAAAATTGTATTCTTTGCCCACATAAACTTACAAAATTGTTTAATCATGAAATCCAAGTATTCTTTTTATTATGTTTTTTAGATGTTTAATAATATACTCATATACCTTAAAAATATAGACATCATTATTTAATGACAGCTATATTTATATATATTAATTATTTTAAACATCAAGACTTATGATCACTCATTATCATATACTGAATTTCATATATCTTTGAAATAACTTCTGCCTTGAACTAGTAATATTTATGTGACATATCCAGTGCACAATATGAACATTACTAGGCTTATTTTAAGTATGAAATGAAATGTGTAGCAGTTTATATGAATTTTTCCTAATCTAAAGAAAATTTTATTGTATTGGGATATTATCAGGATGTGGCCTTTTTTGTGTGCCATTATTTTATAAGTTTTGATGGTGCTTAAAAAAATGTACATACTCTTAAGAATTTCATTTGTAAAATAACACAATATTTATTATTTATTATTTTCTATAGCCTTTTTTCTCTGCGAGAAATGTTGCTAAGGTTTATTCAGTCGAATAAATCGGAAGCTAAGAGAAATAAATGACTTGTTTGAAAATTGTCTAATGTGTTTTCTTTTACATCTTCATTGTAATATATCCAGAATCATTTTAGTTCATTGACATTTCTTTTCACAACTGAGCTTCCTTGAAAGTTCTTCCTCCTACTAAATAGTCGGCACATGCTAACTGAGATACACAAAAAGTAGTGTCTTAATCAAGTCTTTAAATCTTATGCTTATAAAATAAATTTACTATGTATCAGCTTATAAATAAAAGAATGAAATTTTACAATAAGTAAATATGCTACAATTACATTCATATTATTGAGATAGCAAGTATCTTTTCCCAATGTTGTTATTGTTGTTGTGATTAATCTCACTTGTCTGACCTAACTAGAACAAGCCCATGAATTTTATCATGGCAAGGATAAGAAAACTGCATTTGTTGTTGTTGTTGGCAAAAGCCTTGGGCATCATAAATGTGATAGTATCATTTTTCTTTGTTACCAGCCGAATTTTGAGGGAGATTCCACAGGGAATGGGGAGGTGGAATCTGAGGGTCTCCCAGCCCTTTGCGCCCCCTGCCACCAAACCACATGAAAGGACTTTCAGGTCGTCATATATTTAGAGTGCCCCCATCCTTCAAAGGCACTATACATTTACAATATCCATGCCTTCTCCGGAATTTGAATTTTGGCCCTTCTGTATAAACGTAGGACTCGCTAAGCACTATCCTGTTAAGTGGCTCTTTTCCCAGTGTACAGTTTTGATTCATATCTTTATAAATTTCAAGAGCAAGATGTCCATCTTAAAAAATCTTTTGAAAGAAAGGACATTAGCTAAAGGAAGTTTAATATGGTTTTGTTTCATTAAGAGGCATTGCATTATATAAGGATCTATAGATCCTATGCCCCTGTTGATAAAATAATCAGTGTTGGTAAATCCATGTTTATAGTAAAATGTTGCAAAGGGACCATGTCTTGTTATTGTAATGTATTTGCATTGCTACACTACCAACATAATTCCACTAAGAAATGTAAATTACCGCAGACGCATGCTTAAAATTTTTTTTCCAGTTATTCTGTAAGTTTTGACTAATAAAGTTTGTTGTTCTTTCAAAAATGGTGAGAGTTCTTTAAAACTTCATTACAGCAGTATAGAAGAATAAATATCTGATGGCAGCGGTGGCATAAAAGGTGAAACCAGTGTTTATTTAAAAGAAAAGAAAATACAGTACTTGTGAGTATAAGTTTTAATGAATACTGTGCCATTTTGTATGAAAATGTTGCATCTTATTATTGAATTAAACTAATAGAACGATATTCCATGTTTAAGCTTTTGTATTAAAGCGTCAAAATATTTAACCTTTTTTTAAAATTTCAGCTCTTATATTAGAGTGGCAAATTTATTACATTGATATTAAAATATTTCTATTATAAAATTTGAGCTTTTGTATTAAAGTAGCAAATTTACTACATTAATATTAGAATATTTCTATTAAGAAATTTGAGCTCTTGTATTAAGAGTCGCAAATCAAGATTTTTTTGTGTGTGAATCATGTTAGAGGCTTGAATTCTTTATTTACTTTAGTATAATTTATTAAGAGTACAGATTTTTGTTTATCAGAAATAAGTTTTATTGCATTAAGTGTTTTAAGGGGGGGGAAAAGTTGTGTCATACTTGAATTTCTAATAAAAAAAGGACTAGACTGAGCACGTTTATTTGAATTTTTGAGTGTTGACTAAAAGCCTTTTAAAATTAATTTTGAAAACACTGTCGAAGAGTTTTTATATTTCCAAACATGTCATTTCTTGTCAAGGGTAGAAAACAGGATTTAATAGATGTAGCCAAAGAATTAGAAAAGGAAGTGCCGTGAACTAATAAGGTCTCAGAAATTAAAAAGATAATCGCTGAAAATCAGTTTACCACAAGGAAGAAGTTAAATTAATTCTAACAGGGGCATAGCTGGAGGGGGGCATCTGTCTCCGGACGCAGAATCCAAGGGGCACCAAACTGATGTTATGACATTTTACATTTAAATGTTTTCCATACTTGGCAAGCAGTAGGGGGCGCGAAATCTTCAGTTGTCCCTGGGTGCTGAAAACCCTAGCTACGACTCTGAATTCTAAACCCAATAATTGCTGAACGTCTGGCTCAAGAAGTGAGAGAAGAACGCCTATCTCAAGAAGCGAGAGAAGCAAGGGCATATGAATTGGAAATAAAGCGGCTTGAAATTGAAAATCAAGTAATACGAGCTAGAGAATCAACAGCAAATATAGTAGAATCAAGCAATAAAATCTAGTTGTCACAAATTACTCCAAAGTTTGACGAAAAAGGGATGAAATGAAACTATGATAAATTTTGAGAGAAAAGCTGAAATGGCCAAGGTTCCTAAGAAAGTTTGGGTGGTTTATCTTTTGGGTGTTTTACTCACCGAAATCTCCAATATGTTAGTTAGAAGATCTGAAGATGCGACTAAGTACGAATATGTGAAAAATCTAATCTTAAGAAGATACATACTTAACAGTGAAAAGCTGAAACAGTGCTTTTATCAACATAAAAAAACTGCTGAAAAATCTTGGAGAAATTATGCTCATGAACTTTATAGTTATTTTTTAGAGTGGATTGCGGATTTAGAAATTAAGATATTCGAAAATCTGAAAGATTTAATAGTTACCGAGCAAATAAAATATAGGGTTCCCATGGAAGTAAAAGATGATTCTCTCAACCAATGGATGAAATTAAAAACTTCATATGAGCTAGCAGAAAAATTAGACGAGGACAGAGCGTTAAGGGGGAAAATCCTAGAAAACAAGGTTTGAAACTTCAAGAAAGTCATCAAAACGTGAACAAAATGCAAAATGGTATAATAGACATAATTCTAAAGAAATCTCGAAAGTTTTTAATCCTAAACCTATAATTAGGACAGAATATACTAATAAAACTCATGAAAATGAATTTGAGAAACGGAGACAACCTCGTTGTTATGAATGCGGATCCTACTCGCATCTTCGACCTTTTTGTTATGAATGCGGATCTTACTCGCATTTTCGACCTCAGTGTGATAAACTCAAAAAAAATTTAGAAACTGTAGCATCTGATGAAACTGTACCTTCAAATGAATTTTCCAAAAATAGTTTTAATGATATTATGGCTGCATATACCAGCCTAGGTAAAGTATATGGCTATAAATTGCTCATACTTAGAGATACTGGTGCAACTTTGGATTTAATTTGCCAAAAATATGTACAGCTATCCATGTATACGGGTGAGACCGTGTGGATACGAGCACCTCTGGAAGAATATCCAGTGTGCTTACCTTTGGCTGAGGTAGAGCTTGAATGTAATCTTGGTCATATAATAACAAAGGCTGAAGTATTAAGAGATTCATTAGATCAAGGAAGGTATCTTCTCAGTAACAAAACTAGATGAAGAAGTTGAAATTCATATGATAAATGCCATACAAACTCGTGCTCAACAGCGACGACTAAAAGAAACGGAAAATCTGGTCTCAACAAATGAGTTAAATTCCGAAACTGAACTAACGATAAAGACACATTGACTGAAAATGAAAGTTTGCCTCCTGTGAAATATGAAAGTTCAGAATTAGATCTGATAAAGGCCTCTCCAGAAATATTTTTACGAAAACAAAAGGAGAGCGTCGAATTAAAGCCGATTTATGAAGAAGCTAAAATAAAATCTTCTAAGAGTACGAAGTACATGCGTGCTAAAAAATGCACATATGATTTTAGCCGCTTGATGGCAGGATTATTAAGAAACTGTGAAGAATTTGCTGTACCCTATATTGACGATGTTGCAATATTTTCGCAAACATGGGAAGAACATTTGAAGCACTTAGAAATTATTTTGGTGAAGATGAAAATTGCTAAACTGCATATTAAGCCTTCGAAATATCAGTGCTCATACGACTGTCAAATATCTAGGTCATGTAGTAGGACAAGGTCAAAGAAGACCAGCAGAAATAAAAATCCAAGCCATAAAGGACTTCCCTTAAACCTACGACGAAAAACAAGTCCGGTCATTTTTAGGACTTGCGGGGTATTATCGAAGGTATATTTCTGAATTTTCTGTGACTTCAGCACCATTGACAGATTTGTTAAAAGGAAAATGTTGCAAATCAACTATAAATTGGACTGATGATTGCCAAAACGCTTTTGATGAACTCAAGAAACGGTTAACACAAAATCCAGTCTTATACAGTTCGAACTTTTCTCAGCCATTTTCGTTCAGTGCGACGCTTCGAATATTGGTATTGGCGTTGTATTATCACAGATAAATGCTGAAGGCGAAGTACATCCAATAATATTTCTTAGCAAAACGTTTTCACCTACTGAACAGAAGTACAGTACAATCGAAAGGGAGTGTGCTGCAGTACAAAGGTTAAAATTCTACAGTTCTTTGCAGTACAAAGGTTAAATTTCTACCTAGATGGACCTCATAAGTTCATCATTCAGGCTGATCATAATCCTCTAGTATAGTTGGATAAAAACACTGGGACTAATCCTAGACTATGACTAATCCTAGATTATGATGGGCTTTGATCTTACAACCTTTTAACTATGAAGTTACGCATAGAAAGAGGAAGCACCATCAAAATGCTGACAGTTTAAGTCGTATCCAAACATCTCACAACTAAAATATACATTCTAGGAAGTTTAAAACTTCATTGTTTAAATTTTTGTAATATTAGAAAAATACATTTTATATGTTCATTTAAACTGAATATCTTTCTCTTGTTAAAAAAATAAATAATGTATTTAAACTGAATATTTTCTTGAAATTTGCATCAATTTGAAAGAAAAAAAACTTTTCTTCGAAAAATTCCCCGTGAGGGAAGGAATTTAAGACTGTAACGATTTGCGTTGCTACGCTATCAACGTAAATCCCCGAAGAAATGTAAATTACCGCAGACGATTATCCGCAAAGAATATCCGCAGACGCGCGCTTAAAAATGTTTTTCCCGTTATTCTGTAAGTTGTGACTAATAAAGTTTGTTGTTCGTTCAAAAATGGTGAGAGTTCTTTAAAACTTCATTA